TTAAGAAAATAAAAAGGGGGGTATATTAACTCCCCCAATATTCAGTTATCCACCATACTTTACATTTAAAATTTTTTGATCATAGACATTAATAATTTGTCTGCTATGGAGAGACATTGGAACAAACTCTCCCAGTCTTTGGGATGGGTCAGATGGAAAGACTTGATTACAGGAAAATGGCAGGCACCCACTCCCCTATTAGCTAGGGTTTGAGGGGCTGTTTGCGTCTTCCCTCCAGGAAGTGAGAAGCCCATTTGGGTCCCCAAACGGTGCATCAGGCATGTGGACACCGATACTGTTCCCGATACTGGGAATGCTCGCCATGATCAAGATGGTCCAACCATCACCAAACAGTCAGGTAGGGGAAGTATGGGCACTGGTGAGGACCCCCCCACCACCCATTTTGATGCCAGTTAGTCATTCAGCTTCCTGTTCCCCGCCTTTTATAGCACCAATAATACATTGGGAGTGGCTGCTGCCAATGAGAGATTGGAGAGTCAGAAATTAAACAATCTGAGTTTCCCCTAAAGGGGAATCTCTGTTTTATCAAGATGTTTAATATCTCCATGCTACCTAATTCCTCCTATAAGGGTTTTTGTTTTGTGTTGAGTAATTCCTCCCTGGCAGACTTTTCCCTTATTGCCACCAACAGTCGGATGTTGGGCCTGAAGGGTATGCTATATCCCATTAATCAAGAGAGATCTAATTTGATAAAACCACCAAAACCTGTGCCTACTTGCTGGAGGACCAGGAGGGATTTTTTCTTTATTTTCCCCTGCCCTGGGGGGATTGTCTCACAGCTGAACCGTGGAGATTAAAGGGGGATGGTTCTCTTTGGTGGTATGGTCATAGGCTGCCTTTCAAAAATTCCTCTGATAACGGGGAAGAATTTCATTTCAGGAACTCCACTCTAGTGGGGATCATGCCAACCTTTTCTGGAATGTACACCTGTGGGCCCCGAGCCTGCTTGAATGCTTGCCCCTTAGTTCTGCAACAGGGGTTGACCTTTAACACTACGGCCTCCTGGAATGAGTCCTCTGTGTTCAAAACCTCACTCAAGGTTGAGATGGGGGCAGGAAAATTTCTCTATTGTTAGCACTGCCTGCTTGCTCCCTCCTTTCTTTTTGTTTCTTGGAATGGGACAGGGGAAGGGGAGGAGTCCCTCAATTGTTTTCCCAGCTCCTGTGTTCTGAGTGATTGCTGGCCATCTAGAGATTCTCATGCCCTGATAATCCGGGTCCCCTCCCTGTTTCCCATGGTGGTGGAAGATCAACACTCAGGACAGGAGATCATCCTGTATCACCCCAAGAGAGACTTTGGCATCATGGCAGATGTTGTTGCAGCCATTGTCATATGGGCCACTACGGCTGCCATAGCCAGAATTGCCATTGTCCAATCCTCTGCCAAAGCAGAGACCGTTAACAACCTTGCTGGTAGAGTTAGCAAAGCACTGTCCACCCAGAATGTGCTCAATTCGCATATTCAGCTGGGGATGCTGACGTTAAATCAACAAACTGCATCACTACAGGAACAAATTGATGCTCTGTGGATAGTGCAACAAGCCTCTTGTTCACATTTTCATCATGCTACATGTGTAACTTCATTGAGTGTATCTAATGTACCTGTGCAAGTGTACCTTCTATATGCTTTCTTGAGTGGATCTTGGAATGATATGTTTGTAAACTTTTATCACTGTTTTGGCCCATCAAATTGTAACCGTAAATTATATGTGGGTTACCCTCGTGACAGAGGAAGGCTGGTGGAATGCTATGGCACAGATCGGGAGATGAGTACAGCGATGGGGAGGCACTATGTCGATGGGGATCCTGGGAGTGGTGGCATCAGCGTTAGGCATTCTGGCCTTATACCGAGTTCAACATACCTTGTTCCATAGGCAACAGATCCAGCACCAAGTATTGCTCAGCTTAGCCCATGGCAAACCTGGTAGCCATGAAGTCTGGTTACAGATGATTCAAAGATGAGGTTCCCTAATGATAGGCAACCTGTGGGGAAGAGACCTCCCACCTAAGACAGGGGTCGCCAGGTCCCCTAAGGATGGGTAAGGGAAGGTGACTCTACATGACCTAAGACAGGAGTGCCTCATTAGAAAATAAAAAAGGGGGAATTGTGGGAACAAGAGACCTTGGCCAGAGGCTCACTTCTCCATCAGCCTGGAAGCAGGCAGCTGTAACTGGTATCTGCAACTGCAGAGCAAAACATGTTTACTAAAGCAATCCGGTGTCCATAACTACAAAGAAAAACATGTTTACTGGAGCAATAAGTTCCTGATGTTCTCGGAAGGGCTTGCCCACAAGAACACCCTGACTGTTTTTTGAACCCTCAGCTGACTAACTGCCTCTTCCTGACCCCCCACCCCTGCCTCTGGTGTCAGGGTATATAACCAGCCGGGGTAAGAGTAAAGTGAGCCTTCTTTCACCACCAACTGGTCTCTGTGTCATTAATCCCGACATCCTCTGCAGATTCTCGGTCCTGGGCTGTGCAGACGTGGCACATAGCATCCCATCATAGGGAATGGGCTCCAACAATCTAGCTCATGCACCAAGGAGAGATATGGGTCATTCAGTCAGGGGCCCCTCAGATAGACCACCCAGGTATACAATTGTCCTCCACATACAGAGGGCCTGGTTCTGTCCCTTGGAGGCTCCATGGCTCTCAGTCGAGAGTTTTTGAGTTTCTAAGAGTTTGATTAAGCTGTCTCTGCAGATTTCTCCTTCATGGTCTTGACCTCCCTTGCTCATGTATTCCCTCCTCCCTCTCTTCCACTGGATTTTCAGAACTTAGCCTGGTGCTTGGTTGTAGATCTCTGCATCTGGTTCCATCAGTTACTGGATGAAGGCTCTATGATGACAGTTGGGATATTTACCAGTCTGATTACAGGGGAAGGACTTAATCACTGAGCCATCTCCCCAGCTTTGTTTTTCACTTTGTCATTTGAACTCACTGTGATTTTCTTTTGGAGTCTTGTGTGGAAGGTATAAAGCCCCACCCCAGCCCCCAGCTCCCAGCACACACTAGAGGAGGACTCCTTGAATATAAACAGCACAGGCACTTGACATCTGACTCTGCCCTAACTAAGCCTGATGCACTGGGGCTAGTTGCAGGGTTCCCCTTTCCAGTGTCCAAGCAGAAAACATACTTCCTCTTTCCCCTGGGATACAGTAGAGGCTTTCTAGTCTCTTACACAGAAGGGTGCTTTGTTTTAGTCTGTGGATTCATGAAGAACTCCTCATCCCAGCTCTGTACTTTTTACAGGCACAAGGTCCAGTTTCCTTGTGCATTACAAGTCTAGACTTCCATCTTTGAGTCTGACCTTGCTCTGCCAGCCCAGGCTATGGCAGCAACTTCAGCTGTTGGGTACATGGGGTTTGTTTCCAATTCTAGTCTTTATTAGCTTGGACACAGTACATTTCTGTTTTGTATGTTGACCATTTCTTTATGCTGAGAAAAGGATTAACAGGTGAGCCTACATATCCCAGCAGGCTCTACTCTCAGATGACTTTACACCCCACAAATGGAAATAACTGGGTCTCTGTGAAAACCATAAGGTACAGCTGGACTTAGAGCCCTATTTACTGCCATTAGGGATACTAACAACTGAGAACTGAGAAGCAACCCAGTTAAGGGACTGACTGTTTGGCAGAATCTCCCGGTGTCTGGCTAACCACAGGGCATAAACAAGTATTGACCAGTTGTGCCATCCAAAGACGGTTATTTTCTAGGTTTATGATGTTACGGTGTACACCATAGTGTTATGTTTGGGGCTCTTAAATGTGACTCCCCAACTCAGTAAGGATGGAATCGTGGTTTCTGTAATGTGTTCCTAATGGCCACACCCAGGGGAAGGTATTCATGCCTCTGTGGTGCTAGCCAGGACTCTTAGGCCCTTGCAGAGTGAGTGTAGGAGGATCCCACCACCAATGCAGATGCATTGCCAGGGGGAAGCTTCTAACTGATGATGTGTGCCTCCCACTCTCTGGTGTTTTTATTTTCCTTCTCTCATTTTTTGCTAGCAACCATTACTTTGCAGCTCATTCCTTCACTAACTACATACTCGGTGATGTTCCCACTGCTGGATTTGGGATGGGGAGTACCCAGATGTATTTCCATCAGTTTGCCAGATGTCTCTGCCTGCTGTCCCCTTCCCAGGTAGAATATTAACTGTCCTTTGAGGGGAGCCCTGGGCCTTTGTCCTCTTTTTCTGTGGACCTTCTCCAAAACCAGTCAGGTTTCTTTCTTTGCTCTTACTCTGCAGCTCTCAAACTTTATATTGACTTTTCATGCTCACACCAGGAAACAGCATGGGTGTGTGGCAACACGCTCATTACAAGGGGACTGCATGCTACTGCTCCTGCAAACCAAGTGGCTGGACTCACTACCCCATTCCCACCACTGTGGTACCTTCCAGCTTAGTCACTTTTTGATAATCCTGTCCCTCATTTTCAGTGCCATACTGTCTAATCCACAGGAGTGACACTCTGATGGCTCAGATGCTCTGGAGTCTGTGGGAAGACAGGAGACAGAGCCCCTAAGGGCATACAGGGTAGTCTTTCAGGTGGGCTTTCTGTAATGTGCTTCTGGGCATAAACGGGACATAGCCTTCCTCGATTCTGAAGGCTCTCCCCTTAGTACCTCTCTCCCTTCCCAGAATCACAATGAAGAAGGCTCTTCTGGGCCAGGGTCTCTGTGGCTGGTCCCCCTCAACCTCTCCTTGTTCATTTGCTGTGTTTTGAGTCAAAAAGGCCTACATGATCAAGTTTTGGCTTGTCCTTCCATAAAGAGATTGTTGTTAAGGTTTCATTTTCCAAACCTGTTATAAAATAAAACGAGACTAGACCAGTCTCCCTGCTGGGAATATCATGCCATATATTTGCCATGCTACCCCTCCCATAGAAAGCTCAGGAAGGAGCCCACATTCAGTTGGTCCCTGAAAACATCAGGTCCTGTAGAGAACACACAGGGTTTACTCCTCCCTTGTCTACCTTGTCTGGCTGGAGAAACTTCGGAAGCCTGTGACGCAGATGTTGGCATCAGAGTGAGTCCTGGAGGACTGGGTCAGGAGAGACTGTTCAGGGGGTGAGTACAGCATGCAGCTGATAGCAGGAGCAAGCAGCGCGGGGTCAGAGGCCATCGACTAGCTGCACAGGGATGCGATTCCTCCCCGGAGGCCGCGGAGCCGCTCGGCCTTGCGAGCGCTCGCACGAGGCGGGGGCGCGCTGTCACGTGTGGGGGCGCGCGGCGGCGGGCACGCGCAGCGCTTTAAAGGCGCGGAGGCGGCAGCCGCGGCTGCTCGGCCAGGGTCGGACAACCGGACACGGCGGCGGCTCCGGCGATATGTGCGGCCAACGGGGAGGCATTTGGCTGCTTCTGGCCGCGGCGCTGCTGCAAGGTAACCGCGGGGCGGCTCTGGCCGCACTCCCCCAGCGGGCTCCGGGGAGCTGGCGCGGGCGGGCAGGTGGGCGAGCCGGCGGGCGAGCGAGTGGTCCCGGGCTGCGACCAGGCTCGGGGTTGGGCTGGTCCGGGACAGGGCGGGGTGGAGGCCTAGCGCTGAGGCCCGCTGGGCTTTCTGCTTCCCAAGTGTCCCTGCAAGGAGAGTTCCAGAGGAGGCTGTACAAGGAGCTGGTCAAGAACTACAACCCACTGGAGAGGCCGGTGGCCAACGACTCGCAGCCGCTTACCGTGTACTTCTCCCTGAGCCTCCTGCAGATCATGGATGTGGTGAGTGTGGCATGGCGCTCGGGTTGCCCACCTTCCTATCCCGGAAGGGGTAGCGCGCCGGGCAGGGATTCCGCCCTTCTTCCCCCCCCAGCCACCTGTGTGTGGGCACTTGGGTCGCGCCTTTCAGCTAGAAACTCCGGACCACAGTGTCCCAAGTTGGGAGCTAGTAGCAGGAACGGGATACGTTGGTCACTTTTCAGTCTTCCTTAGAAAACTAGTGCAGTCCTGCGTCCGGTGTAGCTTAGTCACTTAGAGTCTTTTCTCTCTCTTCAGTGATTGCATAGTGCCTTGGAGGGGGCCTGGCTTTTTTCCGCTGCCATTCTGCCTGGATAGAAGGTTACCTGTAGGTGTTTAGAATCCCTCTTACCATTAGGGTCATGGACATCGTTTCTATTTTGTGGACAGGACGGATGCTGGGGAGCCTTCTAGGATTCCAGACAGCTAATAGCAGTCCCTTCGACCCCTTGCAGCAAGCCACTAGATTTAGGCGACACGCCCCTGCAGTATCTGTGTCACCTTTTTTTTTCCTTCCTTCTTTTAGCTAGGCTACCTGTACGATTTTTCATAAGTGGATTCTTCAAACAGTGTCAGTGCATACCACGTGTTCCAGTATCTATACAAGGCTTCACTGCAAGGCTTGTTGTATACAAGGCTTGTAGTGGGTAAGGGTGGAGCAAAGCAGTGTTCTTGTTTAGCAGGAGGAACTACTGTGGGAGGATAGAGGTACCTGAGGAATCACAACTCCAGGTAGGAAGTGCAGAAAACCAGGAAAGGGACTTAAGTAAAAGCATGGCAGGTGACACTTGTCACGCCTACCCTCACTCCTGTGCTAACCTGATTTTCATGATGAATGGCTTCTGTCCCTGTACTATACCTGTTAAGTCTGCATTTCCTTCTATGTCAGGATCCTGCTTTGTTAAGTATTTGTGTGTAATGTGGGGACTTTGTTATGAGAGGTGTAAAGACAATTGTTAAGTTTACAGAGCACAGACTTCAGGAAAGGAAGAAAAGGAAGTCTTGTTGGTTTTGAGTCAGAGTGAGGGATACTGAGAAGGAGATTCTGTCCTGGAGGTAGAAAGTTGTGAAGTGGAAGAGGACAAAGGCCCCTGGGAAATTGGGGTGGGGTAGAGTCGCGAAGAGTTCGGTTACTAATGGTGGGGAAGTTGTTTTGGTTGCTTCTGGTTTTGCTGGTCTCCGCATGGTTAACTGGGAAGTTTCATTAACACATGAGCTTTGATTCTCAGTTAACAGAATGGACCGGTAAATACTTTACTGGCCATTGTGATGAGCTAAAGACAGTATAAGTAACTTAAAGAGTCCCCAAAGCCAGACACACAACTATAGTTATTTTCATGCCAAAAACTACAGAAGAAAGGGTCAGGTAGCTAGGATAACATGTTCCATAAGAGTCACACAATAAGATGTCTTTCCCTGCCTCCACTTGCCAAGGGTCTGCCTTGGCCAGCCAACCTCACTGTGTTTCATAGCAGTAGTGAGCTTTATGGTATAGGCCTCTCAGCTGTGCAACTTGTGTGAAGAAGTGAAGCATGCTTTCCAAGACTATTGAAAAGACTCTTAGAAGATCTGGCTTGCTGACGCTTAGGGAAAGCTATGGTGGAACCTAGTAGGATCAACGATATGGGGGGAAGTTAGTTATGTTAGAAAATTAGAAAAAAATTAAACACAACAAACCTTATGCTTTTATGTCATTTTTAGAAACATACATGTGAAGAGGGTAATGCATAGAGGTCAAAGGGAGGGTAAGGTCCAGGAAAATCATGGCCTCACATCTAGCTGTGCACATACTGAACTTCCCACTAGGCAATGCTGCATGTTTGTGGAGTGGCCTTGAGAGAGCTATTTCACTTTGCTCAGCCCTGCTTTCTCATGTGTAAAATGAGAACAATCATATCCACTTCATGGGTTTTGAGAGGATTAACAGAGAGGTTCTTGCCACATGCTGATAATTTGCTGAAGGCTTGCTCCATCTTAATTATGTAGTCTCTGCTCTCAAAGGTCAGGAAGTCCATTCCTAGAGAGGTGTGATCACCTGGCCAAGGATGCCAGAGATGACAGGCAATCTGCAAAGGAAAACCCCCATGGAGTAGGTTTACGTGCCCTTCGCCCATTGTAAGCTGCTGCTTTTTGATGTGGTAACTTACTTTAACAGAAACGGAGTCAACTGGATGAACTGTAGATGATTGAATGTGGCTTTCTTAAGCTTCTGGGTGAGAAGGAGGTTTCTACACCAGGCTAAGGAAATATGCAAACATTTGTATTCCAGTCTGCTTGGCTCTGCCTGGTCTTGAAACAGAGCCAGGTCTTTCTTGCTGAAATCTCACCACTCTGGACAGAGACACCACCTCTCCTGAGGGTTATGAGTTGCTAGTGCAGTCTCTTTACAGATTCAGTACTAAGGGGTTATTTTGCTCATTCTGATTTGCTGTTCCATAGACTAGGGTTGATTGTCGTCCCCCCCCCATCTTTTAAAACATAGATGCCCTGCCTCCAGGGATGTGGAGATGGCATATAGTGTCACTCACATACAAGTATATATTTCATGCAGGGTTGTTTGCACCATCAATTTATTCTACCTGTGTTTATAGGGCACCCAGTGTGGGCCTTGTTAGGTTCTGAGAATTTACAGATGAATAAAGAGGACTTCCACATTTAGCTGCTACATGATCTGGCTGGATTTAATATTAAGAAGTAAGTCTATGATTTCTTTATTTGATGAAATTTAACATAGTTTGCAGATAAAATCTGCTTGTATGCATGGGGAAACATTTATTCCCAGTTACAGTGGCTGGAGTGGTTTCAAAACCCAAGAGGTTGAATTTCCAATTGGAGTTTTCCAGGTAGAAAAAGTAGGAAGTGTTTCTCAGGTAATGAAAGCAGCAGGGAGGGAGGGTGAAGGGTGGGAGTTGTCAATGCGAGGGAGGGTGTTTCCATAAAATCCTGGCTCTCTGCCTCCAGCTAGGTATTTCCATGGAATCCTGTCTCAGTTAATGTTTGCTTCAGGTTTGGTTGCAAGACTTCTCAGAAAATTTGTGCTTATACTTATTAAAAGTTCAAAAGCATTGACCAAACTATAGGTAGTTTTATCAACCCCTTTCCTAGTTTGTATTCTTTAAAAAAATACGTGATTTTTCTTTGGTAGAAAGTGCTAGTGTGCAAAGTATCTTGAATATGCTATAACGTTCACATGCTGGCCTGTGCTCTACCTGAGTGTCACAGACTCTGCATGAGGAGATTTTGTAAAACTACAGGACTAGCTTGCCAGAGCCCATTTCCCTAGAAATGGAAGCATTCTAACCATAATATTTTTATTAAATCTAATAAGTATGAATTATAGATTATAATGAAAGAATGTACATATATTTTAAAGATAAAACATGGGTCTTTCGAGGGTTCACTGTACCCACTATGGTCTGTTCTAGTTATTTGGCTGTCCCCGTGGTACAGTACTCAGTAGAGAGTGGGAAGGCATGGTGAATTTCTGAGCAGGAGCGGAAAGTATCAGGATCTATATTTAGAAGATACAAAAGCCTCGAATGTGGGGCAAGCTAGAGAGGAGAGAAAGTTTGGGCAAGGACACTGAGATCTTTCTTAGTTTATTTTCTGTTGCTCTATTGAAACAGCTGAGAGTATAATTTATAAAGACAGAGGGTTATTTTGGTTCCTGGGTCTAGAAACTGCAAAGTCCAGGATCATGGTCATAGCATACTCTCAGATTCTAGTGTGGGCTCTCATGTTGCTAAAACTCATAGCAGAAAGCAGGAGGGCAAGTGTGCCCATGCAGAAGAGGCTAGACACAGGGCCAACCTTGGGTTATAGCTGTTTCTTGAGATAGTTGGTACAGTCTCTTGAGAATTAACCAAGTCCTCTGAGAAAGGCATTTTTGAGGGTTCTGTCCCCAGGACCCATATACCAATCACTAAGGCTCACTCTGGCATTGCTGTATTAAGGAATTAAAATCCCAACATATGAGCTTCTGTTGATTCATTTAAACCATAACAGGGTCAAACACAGCGTGACCTCTGGGGCAATGTGGAGAGGAGAAAGACTCAAGAGATTTTTTTTTAGATATACCATCCATGATACATAATTGTACATAACACCGTGTGCATGACAGATTGGCTAGATTAAAGTGCTCCCTTGTTCCTAATGCATGCTCAGGTTTATAGTGATTCTTAATTTACTTCATGAGCTTTTCACTGGACTGAGAATGAGGTAATGCATAGGAAACCATTGTGAAGACTTGCAGAGGGAGGGCTTTGAGTTGCCACTGGTTTTTATAATATTTCTCCTCTGCTGCTATTTGTCCATTTACCTGGCATCAAAGGCCATCCTTAATATTCATTTGCATAAAATAAATACGCAGTTATAAAAACATCTCCAGAGGATAGTATGTTTTAAATGAATAATATGAATCAACATGTAGTTATACAAAATGTGTAATTATGCATGAAAGAATTTTAAAATTTTAAAGGTTTTGGATTGCAGAGCTTTCTGGAAGTGTTACTCACAAGACAGTGGAACTGGTGGTGTATTTTGAGTTTGCTACTCTAGAGGTCAGGCAAGCTTCCTAAAAACTTGGGATTTATTTGAAGTCCCTTTAGCGTCCCCCTGCTAGCATCCAGCAGATTCTGTGCTTTTTATTTACTGGCTGTATTTAAAGTGCTGCACCTCTAAATAAAAATCATACTCATGGGGTATGCCTAAGCAGAAACAACCAAGGTGAAAAATCAGAGAGTTACCATAATTTGTAACACCTTTCTTTCTTTAGAGCTCGTTTAAGTTCACAAGTGCAGAGACTTCCCACATGGCTCCTGTCCCCCACACCTACCTCCAGCCTCCTCATTAGCATTTCCTGTACAGTGGTCAAGCCTGGTGAGTCTACACTGACCTATCAGCTGTCACTCTCGGGCTGTGCTTTATATTTTTACTGGCAACGTTGTGGACTTGGACAAATGTATCTTAATACACTTGTGTCCACC